CTTCATCGGTTTCGATTTCTATAAATTTAAAGTTATGTGTGCAATTTGGAGTCGTAAAGGATTCTTTTTTACCAGGTTCTATATTTGAGGTAATTTCAATAATGCTGTCAATAAAGTAATTATTTAGTGATTGTGCAATCTCATTTTACGTTGTGTACAAGTTGTTGTGAATTAACACTTTATTAATGGCGTTTATTTCCTTTGACATACTTATGCAATTTTTTAGATGCTTCCACATTGATTTGCTATCTCCAATATTAACTGTTATTTTATGCTCCAAGTATTTAACCTTTTTAACCTTTACTATCCTCTTGTATCTACGTTTGATTGTATTATAGTCACTCCAGGCCCCTGTTTCTAATGCTATCCTGTAAAGAGTATACTTTTGTTTATTAAGGTTTGTAATTCAGCATCATACCACTTGTTCATGAGCTTAAGCCTTATTTCTTTAGTGTATGTTAGAATGCCCATTGAATGCGACAAGACATTAGTTAAAAATTTCGATTTATCATCGATGCTTAATTTCGAAAAATCCCTGTAATTGTATTGCCTCAGTTGGTAAAGAAGATTATCACTTGCTCTCATTTTATATATTTTCTCCAACTCGATCTTGACATAAATTGTCTCATGATCGGAGATCCGATGCATATCCATTCTTTGACACGAAATGTTTTTGCTATTGGTAAATAATAAATCAATCATGGTTTCGACCTCTCCCGATTTCCTAGTATAAAAATTAATTTTCTGAACCATTGAGAAGGACTGAAATAACTCCATCAATTTTATACTGTACGTTGTAGCTTTATATAGATTTATATTGAAGTCTCCAATAAATACAGTAAATTATCATCTAGGCAAGTATTGTTTAAAATTTCACTGAGGTAGCTGATAAAGTCAGCATCGCTAGAATTTGGCGAGTGATATATTACCCCTATTTGGTATTTCGGGGTAACATTTCCAATTTTTAAAAGAAGACACCAAATATTTTTATCCCACGAGTAATTAACGAGAGTTTCATATTTAATTGAGTGATGGACGTAAATTAAAACACCGCCTGTGTGTCTACTATTCGAGTAGCATCTAATTAGGGTGTAGGTTTCTACCTGTATTTCGTGGTTTGTAATGTCTTCGGTCAAACAGGTTTCTGAACATAGCACCAAATGGGGCTTACAAATTTCTATTAGTTTCTCAAGTTCACACTTATTAGCTGTAATACTGTTTATGTTTAAATAAATGATATTCAATTCATGAACACTTCGTTGCTAAACTTTAGTTTTGCTTTTGGCTTGAACGTATTTTTGGTATGCAGGGCAATCCAAACTGAATGCTGAGTGATTTACATTAACATCTATTACTTTTTTCTGAACAAGTTCAGACATCTACTACATGCATTTTTATTTGTACAATCGCTTGACTTGTGCTTATAACCTAAACATTTAAAGCATCTCATAATATTTAGATGCTCAAATACCATGCAAGTGTCCCATTCGATATTTACTTTTTTACGTTTCAAGACACTTTCATAGGTTAAAGCATCTGTTTCAACTAGAATGTTGAAGCTTTCTTCTCTTCGCGTTCTATTTTCGTATACTTTCAGTACTTTCAACTCCTTTCCCAAGAACTCATCATTTTGCTTGGTTAGACATTCTATTATGCGATCATTATTTATTTTTTCGGTTAACCCAACTATTTTCAGTATCTTTTCTATTTCCTCTTTTCCTTTAGCTTTCTGAGCCTGGAACTCCGTTCCAATACTATCTCTTATTTTTTGGTGCACTTTTCCGCAAGTATCTTTATTTTTACATTCTAAAACTATTCCCCCTCTATTAATTTCTTTCACAGTCTTAACAAGACCGTCGGTGGGTTCGATTACCTTTTTCAGCGCCTCTTTTGTTTCCTTAACGTTTTTATTTTTGTTTAAGGGCTTTATAACAATTTTATTTTCATTTGTTTTGACAGCTTGGGCATATGATATTGGGGCATTTTCTTTACTAATTACTGGCTGCATGTTTTTTACCAAGTCATTACATTTTTGCAGTTCACTAGAAATTTCCTTAATGATTTCATTTTTCATAGCATTAATTCTCACTCCAATGTTATGTTCCAGAAATGTATTAAAGTCTGAAACAATACTCTTTTTATTTGCGTACATTTGTTGTTAATCAGTTGCTCCAAAACTTGTTTTACATCAGCCGCCTTCAACTTAGATTGCTCACATTTACTTATTAAATGTTTTATTTCGATAAATTTCGTATTCGTATCAGATAAAGTACACTGATTACAAAACCATTTCAAATTAATATTTTCCGTGATTATTTCAATTTCATTCCTTTTAATATTGCTACATTTTAGACAGAAGTTATAGCCACACCCACCAGAGCATGTTATCATTTCATCTAATTGAAACAATTTGGCAGTACATTCTTTACATTCTACTGTTGGCATTTTGCCACTTTTTACTGTGGCAATATACCCTAAGTTAACGTATGGCAATAATATATACTAACC